TCTGAACATTACAAATATTCACCTCAATTCAACCTGGAACCTCTCTCATACAATAATACAATACAAATGGTGTGTGTGTGTGTGTGTGTGTGTGTGTGTGTGTGTGTGTGTGTGTGTGTGTGTGTGTGTGTGTGTGTGTGTGTGTGTGTGTGTGTGTGTGTGTGTGTGTGTGTGTGTGTGTGTGTGTGTGTGTGTGTGTGTGATGGATCGTTGGCGCTATGTGCAACTCAAGGCATATGCTCGAACGGGAGCTGCCTGGACGCTGCAATCATGTTGCGCACTATCCGTGCTGAGTGTGCTGACTTTTCGTACAATGTCCCACTGTCTGGCTTCCTGCATAAAGTCAAGTGCTCGGCGCAGTTGTGGCGAAATGTCGCTCTTCTGTTTTCATTTAAACAGCTCCATATCCGTTAGCGCAGCTAGCTAGCACCAGATGCTAACAACAACAATGCACGTAAGGTCTCTCTCTCGCTCGCTCGGGCCACACATACACACACCCTCCCGGTGTTCCGGATTAACTGGTTCCCCGATCAACTGGTTGACAGATGTGGAGGCGTGGCCTTCGACTGAAATACACATTTCGATCGCTTCTTCTGTCGTTTACATAAATCTTTTGGTATATTTGGCTGGATAGGAACACTTTGATGCACATTCAGTACCAGAGTGTGAGGTTGTGGTTACGATGGCGATATCCGGACGCGAACAGCGAGGACTACAAAATAAAAACGAGTTGACATGGGGATGTCTGTTCAAAACATTGCGAGCTCCAATAAATCATTTAAACCAGCTATTGTTGCCAGACTAATTACTGATTGAATATCGTTCTTGATGTGATACCAAGTCCATCTGAGACCTGTGTACACCTTCAGACAGCCTCCAAGTGAAGCACACGTTGTTTACTCACAGTTTGAAAGCAGCGTGGAGAAGTCTTCAGCTGTGTTAAGTTGTGATCCGCTCGAATACATCCTTAAAACCAGCTATTGTTGCCCGACTTATCACTGAATATCGTTCCTAATGTGATACCAAGTCCATCTGAGACATGTGTACACCTTCAGACAGCCTCCCAGTGAAGCGTACGTTGTTTACTCAGAGTTTGAAAGCAGCGTGGAGAAGTTTTCAGCTGTGTTAAACTGTGATCCTCTCAGGTAAACTGAGTCTAGGGGGTGCTGTGGGGTAGCTTGACGTTTCATAGAGGGTGCTCAAACATTTAGGGTTTCCCATTAATGCACCAGCGCTACAGTTGAATGTTCTACTGCAACACTCTCCCCCCCCCCCCCCCCACACACACACACACACACACACACACACACACACACACACACACACACACACACACACACACACACACACACACACACACACACACACACACACACACACACACACACACACACACACACACACACACACACACACACACACACACACACACGACTGTTACAATGAAGGCTCGATAATCAGCTCACGGCATATAGGCAGGGTAAAGTGCTATTTTTACAAGTGGTGAGCGGACCTCACCTCTTCTAGGAGGGTCCTCACCTCCTCTAGGGGGGTCCGGGGGCATGCTCCCCCGGGAAGATTTTTTTTTAAATATTGAAGTTAAAAGCATCAATCTGGTGCACTTTGAGAGCAACATTAAGAGATCTATGGATACATCTCTCAACACCCATACAAAACAGAACTGTCAACAGGTTTACTTTTTCTTTATAGATATTTTACAAATCACTCCCCTTTTAAAACAAACCGTTTGAGACCCACTGAGATAACTAGACTAAAGTTAACTATCTAAACACTGAGAGAGTCCTTTACTTCACCTGAGCTGAGGCAGAGTTGGGTGTAACGCGTTACAAAGTAACGCGGTACTGTAATAATACTACTTATGTCGGTAACGGAGTAGTGTAACGCGTTACTTTTATAATTCAGTAACCACACTACAGTTACTAACATTGCCCCGACACGCGTTACTTCGTTACTTTTATAAAATAATCACACTCACTGACAGACAAGAGGGGTTTCCGCCGCAGGTTTATATCGGTTTATATACATGTAGGGCTATGTAATCTGCGCGATTTGCGAGACCACATCTCCACGTGCAGTGCTGCATAAACATGGCTGAGTCTTTTCATCTGTAAACTCCCTCAACGGGGCCGCTCGCTCTCTTTTGTTGATCGCCCTCTCACGGATGAACAGTTCAATGTCCCGCTTCATTGTAGGAATTCTGCCATGTCTCTACCACTTTAGTTTGACCATCTCTGTTACTAAGTTATGGAATACTAAATAAATAAGTAATTAGATACCTTACCGTTATGCGCTCATAAAGAATGATAAGAATAATGCGTCTTGAACTGGTTTCATTAATTAGTGTCTTTACGTTTCACAGACTGTTAGCTTGTTGTGTGGCTGGTAGCCTATTTTAGAGCATATAAAAAGAAAGACTTGTGTTATGTCTTCCTTAATGCAATAGTAATTGGGGGTGCAAGTGGAGTCTCGCAGAGGCAAAACTGTGGCGCGCTTACACTGTAGGTGCGCCGCAGTCTGCGTGATCTGCCTGTAGGGGCGGGCCGGCCCTGCGAGTAAAGTAACGAGTAAAGTAACGAGTAAAGTAACGAGTTACTTTATCTAGAGAGTAACGAAGTAGTGTAATATATTGCTTTTTTTTAGTAACGACCCCATCTCTGAGCTGAGGTTACCTGAGACTCTCCGTCTGACAGGAGAGAGTTCTCCCTCCACCTTGTTGTTGAAAAAGCTCCTTATATCCGTTAGCTTGGCTAGCTAGCACCAGATGCTAACCACAACGATCTCCGGTAGATACCCACTGGTGCGCGAGGCGAGCTCTCTCGCTCGCTCGCGCACGCACGCACGCACACAAAGTGGCTGGCTCGTGCCACACACACACACACACACACACACACACACACACACACACACACACACACACACACACACACACACACACACACACACACACACACACACACACACACACACACACACACACACACACACACACACACACACAGAGCAGGGCTTGAATGAAACACAGAGACCCAGAAGTAAGCTACTTGTACTCACGAGGCCTATTATGTGCAGAATCCCTCTCGCTTTCAGTTGGTTTTGATTGAGTGTCCACACGTGGACGTTTAAGGACTAAAAAACTATCAATTTTTCACTTTGCTGTTAGCAAATCATTTGGCGCTCTAGCTAACAGGAAGTCACCCAAGTGTCACAAAGTAATTTAACCTATGGGTAGGTCAAAAATCGAATGGGTGCTGGCCATTGGCCTAATCATATCACCTGTGTTGGCTTTATGTTTTTGGTAAAAAAATGTGTTTGTTTCACATATGCATTGATGTAATCAATAATATTTCTAATTTAATTTAATAAAAATAATAATAATAATTTTCGAAAAAAAAACAAAACATATTTCTTGGGGGTGCTTAGGGGGTGCTTTGGCAATCCTGGGGGGTGCTTCAGCACCTCCTAGCTCCCCCCTGGCGCCGCCCCTGCTCAGATGGACTTGGTATCACATTAGGAACGATATTCAGTGATAAGTCGGGCAACAATAGCTGGTTTTAAGGATGTATTCGAGCGGATCACAACTTAACACAGCTGAAGACTTCTCCACGCTGCTTTCAAACTGTGAGTAAACAACGTACGCTTCACTGGGAGGCTGTCTGAAGGTGTACACAGGTCTCAGATGGACTTGGTATCACATTAAGAACGATATTCGGAAATAAGTCTGGCAACAATAGCTGGTTTAAATGATTTATTGGAGCTCGCAATGTTTTGAACAGACATCCCCATGTCAACTCGTTTTTATTTGTGTAGTCCTCGCTGTTCGCGTCCGGATATCGCCATTGTAACCACAACCTCACACACTGGTACTGAATGTGCATCAAAGTGTTCCTATCCAGCCAAATATACCAAAAGAATTATGAAAACGACAGAAGAAGCGATCGAAATGTGTATTTCAGTCGAAGGCCACGCCTCCACATCTGTCAACCAGTTGATCGGGGAACCAGTTAATCCGGAACACCGGTGAGCGTGGAAGTGTGGTCTGCCACAAGCGGGCGGCAGGAGCGGGGCTGTCAGCATCAGCTTGTAGATGGTATTTTAAACTCGATGCGCTCTGAAACTACGGGGCGGCCGAGGAAAAAAAATACACATGCGTTAATCGCGTTAAAATAATTAGTGGCGTTAATTTTTTTTGCGTTAACGCGTTATTAACGCGTTAACTTGACAGCCCTAATTATTACATTAACTATGTCACCCGAAAATTAAGTACACTGTTCTACTTCCGCAAGTTCACCACCAGAAAAACCTAGTGGTTGATCTTATTACAAATGGTGCGAATTAATGAATGGGCCTATAATCGGGCAACATCTTACAGTAAGGCTTTTCTATGAGCAAATGATATCCACCATATGCATATTGTTGTGTTTAATGGATTTTGTCAACCACATCCTCTTTGCGTTACGGCTTTCAGATGAAGCGGAGACAAGTTAGCTCATCCATACAAATTAAAAGGAGAAGAAGAATTTTCACGGTGTTCATGGTGAACATTCTTTTCCAAGGAGGGTTTAACAAAAACAATAGTAGCCCAAATAGATCATTAAAAGCCGACCGGAAATATAGTCTATCATACATGGCATTTAGAGTGGTAATACTATAATATTGTTTAAAAAAAACACATGTAGCCTTTCCTCACAGCGCGGCAGAGAATGGTATATCGACACACATGCCGATTTGTTAATAATTGCAATTTTTTTGAGCTTCTTTGCTATGAGCATTATCATCCTCTGTATTATTATAATGCCTAGTTGTACTTGTGCTGTCAATTTGAAAGTAATGCAAAAGTAGAATAGTCACACATTTCTCTACACAAACAGTAAATTATATGTTAAACATTTTGAAAGTCATCCGTCCAAAACTATCAATCAACAGATATACGTATATCCACTATAAAAGTAACAAGTAACAACAGCTCCTTCTTTGCTTACCAATAGACATCCAGTAGATCTTAATTGGGGCTACTCCTTCTGGAGGGTTACACTCCAGGATGATTGGATCTCCCTCCTCAACAACGAGGGGGGAATTGACCTCCTTTGGAAACTTGGGCACATCTAATAAAAAAAAAATTAAATTTAAACAAAAAGAAAAAACGTATCCGGTGACTATGAAAAGCATTAGTCATCCATTTAAGGTAATTTATGAGCTTGTTGTGTAAAGGTTACTCACTGGGAACTCTTAGTTCAATCTCATCCGTCATGGCAGTTCCCAACTTGTTAGAAGAGTAGCATTGGTATTTACCACGAAACTCGACAACCTGCTTGTTGTGAAGTACGAAGGTACCAACTGGGTGATGTCTGTTTGTCGTGACGTGGGGAGGGATGAAGTCTTTGCCATCTTTGGTCCATCTGTATCTGTTGGAGCAAAATACACAGTATATCACTGATAAACAGACGCATATGTGACAAAGTGGAAAGCTGTGGTATTTTCTCACAGATCATCTTTAATCAGCCATTTGCTTAATTATGACAGAGATCATGCTGATGTCACTTACTCTGGTGGTGGGTTGCCCCTGGCTTCACACTGGATGGTAATGGACTTGTCAAAAGGAAGTGCAATAATGGGACCAGATGAGCTATTAATTATGGTTGGTGGTTGCTCCACTATAAAAACAAAACATAAAGACAAAATTATCACAAAAGTGTTGAACGTTAACATTTCGGATTAAGAACACACATATTCTTCTGTTGTTTCATATTATTTGCTACTGCCCTATATAAAGCTGATAGTCAGTAATGTGGTAAAGTTGTATGCAAACCATACTACACTCTGGAAAGGAGATAGACACTGAACTACAACAGCATCCCAGCATTTGCAAAGCATTCACAGACATAAACAAAGAAGCCTCTGCTGCAACACTCGTGAGTTAAACAATTTAAGTTGTTATTTGTTAGTCATCTTTTTAAAAGCAGCTAACATTTACTTAAGCGTGATGGACAGCTAAAAAAAAAGAACACACGCTTTTGACAAATGCCAAAACAGAAAGATTAAACATTAAGCAACCAGTTTGATTTATAAATAAGATAATATATTAAAGATTTGTATCATGACATTCCTACCTTCCAGAGGGATGTTGAGGCCTGTGGCTGTGGAGGTGAAGGCCAAAAGCAGAACAAGCTGCAGGCTCCCCACCAGCCTCATCACCCTCCACTGGTGGATGGAGACAGCAGAGATCAGGAGAACGTGTTGATATGGATCAACTGGCGTCACTTGGGATTTGTAAGGCACATGGAAGAGGACCTGAAAGAGTCAGAGTAAGATTTATTTTTAAAAGATGAATCTACTGATTAAAGTTGGAGAAAAACAACAACAGTTTGATCACAAGCATATGTTCTTTTCACAGAGATGCTGCACTTAATGAACATCACAGAGGGGGAGATGCTTTTCTCTAAATGAGCTGTGAACAAACACACTTATAGGGAAACGTTGCCTGTCACTGAGGGGAGTTAACACCGGCAGTAACACTGAGAAAGCTGAACATGGTTCAGTTGTACATACCAACAACATTGCAACGATACAAACCTGGTTTAAAATTGTCAAAGTTTCCATTTAAGTTAGCATTGTTGACTTTAAACGTTATACTGTGGTTGTCAAGTGACAGTATAGAAAACCATAACACAAATACACAAACAAAATCTTACTCAATGCCTATCCTTTTTTAAATAATTGAACGACTCCTGTTCAACTCGCTGTACCTCAGGGAAAAAATAATGTTCTTTATTATTGCTAGAAAATGTAACTTTAAGGCATTTATAAATGGATTGGAAGGGTTAACACTCAAATGTAGTAATAGAGAGCAAGGAACTACATAATATTGGAAATCCTTATAATTATGTTTTTAGAGTTATCAAAATCAGTACTTTGTATATAAATACATTTGGATTTTCCATGTATACATAAAAAAAACGTATATTCTATAATAAAAGGCCCATTTAAAGAACATTTCCTTAATGTATTCAAAATGTCCCATTGAGGATATTATTATACTATTCAGCATTATTTGTTCATCATTATTGTGATGTCGTAGCACAACACTGCCTGGAGATTACCCTTTGAACTGTAAAGCCTGGCTGGTGACATGGCATAGCATGCTTACAGTAAACCCACCTGGCACAAAGCTGCAGTCTGCTACGACAGCTAGATCCAAGATGGCAGACTATAAATTGGTCTAAGCCAGTTAGTATTTCACGGCTTAGTTCTCACAGTGCTGAGACTGTGACTGCAGCACTGGCAATGCCAAACGGGTCCAGCCTCCAGCTAATCCTGCTATTAGCCGAATGAAAGAGGGAGCCCCGGCAGTCATACAGTACGCTGCCTAACAGTGACTGAGTGCTGCTCTGGGTTCTTCTAAGGACGCAAAGCTGCATGTGTTGCCCCTTCTCAGTGAGCAAGGTTAATTTGGTAATTGTTGTGGACTAGATGCAGGATTAAGCTGCTTGAATTTAGAATCAATTAAACAAATTGAGAGATTGTGGAAGAGTAGTACTTGCAATAAGGACTTTTTTGTGATTATCCTCCATCGGATTGAATGGTAAACAAAGCTGGATAGATGTTTGTCACAGTGGGGTAAACATGCATTTTCATGTTGTAATAAAGCTGTAATCCTCTGTCATTCTCTGTCTGCTGCTATTGTGTGCTATAATTTACACACACAGGCCCACACATGAGCATGCCTGCACATAATCACAGACAGAAAATCACATAAGCCCAGCAGGACATGCAGAGTCCTTGATAGGCAGGAGGTACACAGTCCACCAGTGACTTGAGAAGTGGGACCTTTTATCCACATTTGTGTTAATCCTACCAACAACCAGTCAATTTATATTCAAACACAGCAGAAATACTGTAGCAACTTTGTGGGTTAGACAGATTATACTACATTCCACATGCGCGTGGAGTTCTGAAAACATGTCACTTTAATCATAAGTGAAACTAAACTGACAGTCTGTTTAAAAGGCAAAATCCTTAGAGCATAACATGGGGTGGAGTCACTATGTAAATAGTTCACAAAGCATTTGTTTGGGAAGTCGAGGGATCTGTTACCTGAACACATGGCAGATCACAGCCACAAATCTGCAGGGATTGTGTTTCCTAAGCCAATAGTTGGCTAGGGCACGAAGAGTGTGACTACATGTCTAATCCTTGCCAACACACACTGTATACAATGACCCCCTCCCTTTCTTTGAACTCAAACTTAGTTCAATCGGCCTCACACAAACACACACTCCTACTCGATATATCGTTGCAAAGTAAAGACTGTAAAGTAAAGCATAAATTATCTGAACACGTATTATTATACAAAACTACTACTCAAATACATATACAGTCAGAACAGAGAGTAAAAATGGCAGAACACTTTACATGAAGTAACAGTTCTACTTACTGGTTTCTGAGTCATTCTACATCTTAAGTCCACTTCTATCAGAGTGCAGTTGAACTACAAGTCCATACTAAACATTTTACAGGGCAGGACCATCAAGAGATCATTCCAGCAACTCTCTCTGAACCAACATATCTGACATGTCCTTCCTCCTTAACCTCACGTTGTTCCTCTCATGGTGCACAGGCACGCCTCCCTGCCCGCCCCTCCACTCAAGCGGCTAAAGGAGCGACAGGAGACTCACTGAAGTGACATATGTCGGCAAAGCCTCTCACTTGGCAAAGAGGCTCTCTAAGCCTGTGACAATGAGGGGACAAAGCCTGCACTGCGGGGCTTCTCAGTGAGCATTAAAGAATGGGTGTAGAGGAAGTTCAGGCATGTCTCTCCCTCTCTTTCTCTGCACTATCTCTCCCCTTTTTCCTAGATCCCTCCATCCTGCGTTCCACAAACAATGCACGACCATTTACACCCAGTTCCATCTCGATGATTTTTTATGCCATGTGTCTCAGATCCAATGAAAGGGTAGGGAGTCATCTTCTTTCAGAGGACCACGGCTTTTGTGTACTTTCTTTTCCACACAGTGCTCCGGGGTATTGATAGAGAGAGGAATGGGAGTACATGCCAGAAATAGACACACAATTGTTGATAGCAGCCCACTAGAAGCTTTATGATTTGGCTTTTCCTTTCTATCTAAGTTTTTGTAAAGATTGTTATTGGTTTCTTATCTGAAAACATGTCAAGATATAATTCAGTATTATAAGTAGCTCTCCTGAAGGTAAAGGTAAATATCTCGTACATGCAAAAAGGTCACCACCTGTTATCTGTATGTTATTTTCTCAATAGGCCTCATTTATATTCCACGGAGTAAAGCAGGGATTTGCAATATACTGTAGGTGGCTTATCAAACACCGTTGTGAGTTTAAAGTGTTAGCAGATCTGCATTGTGTTTAGGAATAATGGGGAGTGTTTCTACAACATCATTTTCTAAGCCTAATGGAGATATAATGACCGCACCGATAAGCAATGCTCACACTGCCCTGCAGGGCAATCCAACCAGCAGGAAACGTGTTGACATTCACAGCTCAGTATATTAAAGCCTGAAATGAGGTAGTGCATGCTACCTGCTAACGCTGAGATGAACTGTTCTAAAGTGAAGAATGGGATACTAATGGTTTTAGAAAAAAAGCTTTGGGGAGCACATCTCAAGGGAAAACAATGTATTTATACTGCGTAATAAAGAAAATCAAATAGTCTTGTAAAACGTGATACTGTTTTTCGGTTTATCTATTTGCGTATAAGAACACTGCATTAACTAGAAAGCCGTTCCTTTTTACTTTTACCCTTTTAAACCAGTGATTGATTGCCAGACATACTGTAACATACAATGCCATCCGTTTAAGCTGTCATCACCTGAAATGGACCTATTCCATGTTTAAGAGCGCACAGCTTCTGTAAACACAGAGGAACAAACCTAAGAGGCAACTTGCATGTCCTCGTAAAGGGGGGGGGGGGGGCATTCCATAAATATGTATTTCTGCCAAATCAGACAATTGATGACAATCTGTTGTGCGTAGACGGCTCTGCTAAGATTGTTCCCTAGTTTAGGTTTCATGTTATGTGTCTGTCTGTCTAATATAGTTCTCGTCTTCCCCTGTCTCGTTGCCAGATTGTCTTGTGCGTTCCAGCGTAAGATCATTTTGTCATTGTCCATAGAGTTAGATTAAGTAAGTCGTTTTTGTAGTTTTTTGATAGTATAGGTTAGACAGTTTATTGAGTGTTTGTTTTGTTGCTTTTTGTATTCAGTGTGTTATGACCGGTCTACATTAAAACACTTTATTTTGATACTTTGTTTGTCTCTGCATCGTGCATTTGATTCCACGCCCTTGTACAGCCTTAACACAATCTCTCCTAGGAGAGTTATTTTGTCCTTTGATATGTCTCATGCTCAGTGCCTCTTTCTCTTCTATGGACAAACGAGAAAAATGTTAAGACTAAGAATGTAGATTCAATTAATAAAAGCAAACTTTAAGCCCCCTAATTAGGCTTATATGAAAGAAAGAAAATACTAAAAAATATATAATTATATATTACCGCAGTCAGATGACAACCAGACACATACACAAACTTATATAGGATAAATATGACTTTTTTAAGGATCTCTATTTATGACCAGATTCTTTTTTTTGTTGTCAAGTAAACATGAATGTTAAAACAGACGAGACACAACTTCAATTGCAAATTCCTACTTCAAATCTACATCTCACCCCCCTGTGGTGACGAGCTGAAAAGGTGTCCTGGCCCCATGCCTTTGTCATGATGCATTTCCTCTCCAACAGTCCTTGCCTTTGGTCTTTCGCCACCGTCTTTATGCAAAGTGCACAAAATACCAATTACCAAATGCCTTCCATACAAACTTAGGAAATGTCATATGACGTGGTTAAAATATCTATAAACATATTATGTGCAAGTTTGTAATGAGTATAATCAAAGAAAAGGCCAGAAGGGCACCAGGACACACCTGTACAGTAAATCTATTTCAACGGAAGCTAAGGTTGTGACCCATTCATGATTCCATTACATTCTCAAACATTGTCTAAAATCACAAAGGAAAATATTTCAGAGAGTGCTTCACTAGGTGTAGCCACTCCACACAGTCAGATATACGACTGCAGACAAAGATACTCAACATAGCATGCTGTCAACGCAGACAATGCCAGCAATGATGGAGGAGGTTTCAAAAGTCAGAACATCAGCTGGGACTGACAGAGATAAACCAGCCGCCAGACAAACTCTATTATGTACAAATACTAGAGTGCTTTATAATCCTGTGGACTGTGTTTTACCAATATACACACTTTAAATTCAAAGGGTTGGGCTACCATAGGTAACATTCTTTAAATGCAGTATGTTAAACAAATGTGATTGTAAAGAAAGTGTAATCAAGCACATATCCTGGCTGCCTCAGGAAATCCCTCATGTGTTCATGTGTCTAACGTCATTTGGCTGACACAAAAACCATTAGATCTCTGTAGATCTTGACTGATTACTTTTTCCGAGGCAAATACCAACTCTTTAGCTAGGCGTATTATCCAGGCTTCTTTAACAATACTGTATGATTGCCCTGCTTATCCGTAGATGAAAGGAGTAACGCTTACTACACATTTATCATATTTGCAGACACTGATTGATGGAAGTAATGCCAACATTAGGGAAGACCCTCTCTAGACGCCAAAGTTGTAAGCTAGTTAAGGTCATAACATAACAACTTCCCTTACCTCAGGTCAACATGTCTTCGTCATTACCTAATGGCGCAATAAGATGTCTCTGTTTCGGTCCCACAAGCTCTACAGCAAGCTAGTAATTATGTATGCCTGGAATTCACACAAACAGCTCTCTGACACACATCCAACGCGTCCATCAAAACCTGTGCTTCCAGTATTATGTTAAAAGAAGAAGCTCTATACTTGTACACAAGCAAAACAGGTTCAAGTCAAAAGCCTGTTGTGACTCTAAACATCAAAACATGTTGCACTGCTGCTTCTATAACTTTGCATTTCCTAATTAAATGTTCATATTATGATGTTATAGAGACCTACTGTAAACTGGTTTGCCTGTGATCAATGCCTACAACAGAATTGATTTTAAATTGTTAAGCCCACATGTGTTTTGATGTCATTAGTCCATGCTCATCAAGCTGTCACCATTAATGTCAGAATGATGTTTTCTTTCCTCCATCCTTTCATGTGAATATCACTTTTGCAGAGCACATGTGCTGTGTGGAGGTTTGTCGAGGTGTGTCGCTCATTTAAGTGCCATTAAGCCTTAAGTGGTTCCTGCGCTGGCACACGGTGCTTTGTGAAGTGACATGTGAAGTGTCACTATAAACAGAAGCCATCCTGGCACGCGGTTGACACGCTACTAAAACCTTAAATACTAGTTACCAAATCATAGACCATGAGGTGTGGCATTTCCTGAGCAGTAAAGATACTCTACCTTTTCCATTTCTCAAGATTTCCCCCTTACCGAAAACATTGGGATACAATAATGAATTAAACGGAAAACTTTATTTTTTCATTTGAATCCATCTGTTGGGAGACACAGGCTAACAACATGAATCACTATAGAAACACGTTCCTCGCAAAAGTGTTGAGTGACAAAGAGTGGCATTCAGGAGCCTAATCAGTTTGCCACAGCTAGCAGCACAGGGAGAGACAGTGTGGAGACACACAGTCACACTCAGCTTCCTCCCTTTAGAGACTGCAGGCCAGGAGAAGACCTCTTCACACCTTCCTTCACCCCTTCCTTCACCCCGACACATTGTTCATCGCTGTTGCAGAGAGACGGATAAGGGAGCAGTGCTGTGCTCTGTGGCCTGAACTAAGCTGGTAATTAGTTTATGGGATAATCTTGAAGGTCTAAAGTGGTATTTAGTTGGATGGGCAATGTCTTTCTTTTAAAGACAAAAACGAAAAGATGTTGCAATTTCTATTGCTTCAGTATTTTGACCAAACCTAAATTTGCAAAAGTTTGACTTTTATGGGATTACAGGTCTGTGATTACACATAATACAGATATTATTAAAAGTTATAATGATATAATACTTTAGAATGAACTCAATAGTTATAGACCATGTATTCAAATTAATTTGTATTAGGTTCCACTCCTGTGTTTTGAATTCAGTTGGACGGAAAACTTTTTTTGGTTTATTTTCACATGAATAAATACTTTAATTTGTTTTAAGAAGATGTATGTGTGTTAAAGCCAGATTATCTATTATAGGACCTTTTAATAAAGTGCTTGGACTATGTGTGGGTCTATTTGTGTGATGGATTAGCTACAATAACACAAGACATGAGGAATCCGTTTTTAAAGACAATGCATTCCTCCTAGAGAACTAATTTAAAATATGCCATCAGCCCTCCAGCTATTTGTTTAGCTAAAAACATACACTATACCAATCAACAGAATATATCCCTCAATTTAAATTCTTATGTCCCTACGTAATGGCAGACCATTTTCTGTTTCCAGTTGAGACAACGGACAGTAAATATACCCGATGACACACTAAACTCCTCTCTTCTGACTGACAATAACAGCCACCCGTGAATCCCCAGAGACTTTCATGTACGTAAGGTGACAGGTTGCAATAAATGTAATTTTGGGATGTTTAGAAATGACAGCTGTTGTTCGGTCCTGGGGATTAACCTTCATCTCCAAAGGGCTCAGACGCAGAAAGTAATGAAGCCCCACCTCAGGGTGAGACCTGCCTGGTCTTGTATCAAGCACACACACCTTTGTGAACACTCTCTCTCTCTCACGTGTCCTTTCCCACTCTTCTTTTTAACAACCAGAAACGCAGTTTTCTGGATGTCATTACTCAAGTATAAAGTAGACTAAAAGAAAAGTAAAGAAGAAAAGAGCGATTTTCCTGTCACTTTGAGGAAAAATCCAAATGTGTTGTTTTCAAACGGCTTGCACCTGCAGCTTAGTATCTTCTCAAAAACAAGTCAGAAAAGGATTAAGAGTAGTACTTATACCCTAATATCTGTTTGTCTGGATAAAAGAACTCTGAGCCAAGGCTCCAATCCCATAAGTGTGGGTGACATTTTGAGGTACCGTGTATAATCAGATAAAAAAAATATGATACCTGGCATTTGGTAGTGGAGTTACAAGTGATACACAGTCAAATGCTAGAATGATGGAATTCTGCCAATTATCTAGCATGGCATCTACTGCATCTACATTACTCTTAAATTAGTAAATGATTTCCAAAGAAAGCCCTATCAATCAATGAGTTATGAATCATCTGCTACATGTCAAAAGAATAATGCTCATGAGTCACCTCACCCAAGTGTACTCTTAAAAGCTATTCCTTAAACATCATGACAAGCCAAACAAGCTCTGACAACGACTCACAACACATTGTTGATAAGCATTTTTTTTTAAATGGAATGGTAATGAAGAAAATAGACCAATTACACATAATGCACAGAGTCCTGTTATCTCGATCAACGAGAGAGGTCAACTAAAAACACAATCAAGGTAATTCTATCAGAATAGGCACTAATGGTGGATCAAATGTGCTCCTATCACTGCACTAAAAGCAGTATTTCATGTGACGTTCCTGAAAACTTTAACTTATTTCCGATCAGCCTGTTTTCACCCAGTTGGCCTTCATTTGTCACATCAATGTGATGGCACAGAGCCAATGGCGCTTGAGGAGACTCATCAGCTTGGTGTTTAAATGACTCTTGGGACAGGAAACATAGGAGTTGTACCTTGCATCTCCCCGTGTGAGTGATAGCCTCAATGCTGCCAAACACAGGCCCACGACAGAAGTACCCCTGTGAAAGTATCAGGGCCTTGCTTCATTTGCATTTTTGGAACATCATGAATAAAAGTGTTTGTTCTGGTCTGGGCTCCCAATTGAAAGGGTCCATTAAAGAGTCTTTTAGGGGTTTCACTATGTTGGGTCGGAAGTTTGGGAGCTGGTGTACGGAGAAGAGTGACAGTGCAAAGAAAAAAATATTCTGGAGGCCACGGTGGCCCGGATCAATCGGTATGCAGATGACATTGTTTTCAAGGTAGGCCACATTAAAAGACATCACTCACGATTATGAAATGTATCCATATACAGTAGACAAGGAACTTGTTGGCAGATTGTGATTAAACACATTAAGGATGGTCTCACATGTGGCACCACGTATCACCAGAAGCCTATTTACTGTAAGCCAGAGATTGCAACATCCCCACAGGCAAACAATTATCAAATACCTACTTTCTCACACACAGGTACTTTCAGGATAAAGGAGGACACCCGCAAAAGAGCTGCAGCACATCCCTCGTCCCTTCTACTATGAGTAATACTACCGAGTGTGTGTGAATGTGTTTTCCAACATTTAGCTGTTGGTTAAATAGATAATAAAGACATTATAGAGATCAAAGAAGTTGCCAACATACAGACTGTGTGTGTGAGGGTGTGCATATTGGATACAATGCTTGTTTAACCTATTTCCTAAATCTGCAACAGCAATCTGAACCTAAAGGCATCATAATGATCATTTACCACACTGTAAAATAAAGATGAATGCTAAATGTAGGATCACAATGTTCTCCTTAACAATTAAATCAAAAGGTATTTCTGTTACTATTTTCTGGGGCCAGGGTAAAAATATAATCCTTTATTTTTTTGGTAAAGACTTGTGCAGATCCTGTCTACAAGGAATCAAAGTCCCCTAAAACAAAAGGTTTATCAAAGGGAATTTTCAAGCTGCCTCACCTTTATCTATTGATTGGAAAGAGAATTTCAGACATGCTGATTTGCCTGAATCTCTACATGGCCTGATAATCATTCAGATTAGGG